TCAGGTAAAGCCCTTAAACTTGTTCCAGGGTGCACAAAAAAAAAATATAAAGACTGTTTGGGGTCCTCTCTGTTGATTTCTCAAATAGAAATTACATTCACGCTGGCATCCATTTGGGCAAAAGATGAAAGGGGAAATTGGATGGATGAGATAGCATGATTTTGTTCTGCTAAAATTATAAACTAATCATTGTAGTGAATACTAAAAATGATTTAAAACATTTAGTGGAGCTCATATGGCTGCCACAGGGTCATACTTGTCTTAGTGCCTGGTATCATTGTAAGAATTGTGTCTGTGAGTATGTTATGAATAATTTTTCCAGTTCCAGAAGAATTATGGAAGAATGTCTTTATTTTCTTTAAATGTATATTTTTTCCAGAGTATATGCATACATATCTATTTAATATTATTTAATATTGCTTGTATTATTTAATTCTTCTTGGTCTTACATGTAATTTCATGAAATATAACAAGAAGTTAGTTTTCATAATCTAACACTGTGGATAAGTGAGGAGCATCTAAAAATAATGAAAGACTAAATTATTTTGGTTCAACTTTTTTGTTGGTCATTGACCTTTACCTCACGTGATTAGTTTCTATCTTCTAAGTTACTTAGGTGACTTTGAGCTAAATAGTTCTATGTATATCCTAGAATAATTGCAGATAATTTTCCAAGCTAGTTATTTAAACATCGTTATGATAATTTATATGGCCACCATCCATCTCATCCAGTTTTCTCCATCAGTCTTCTGCTTTCCTGGTGATAAACAACCTCACTCTGTCTGCTCCTGGTCTTCTCTCTGCTTTTGGCTTCATTCCTCAGCCCCTGCCTCTGTGTCCTGGGTCAGAGTAAGTTCTCTACTCATATAATCACAGCCTCTTGTGTTTCTGACATCTTTAAAGTGTGAGGCAGGACACGACCTATCTAATTACACGTCCAGTTGATGGTTATGCTCTCATGGTGATGACAGACCCTGAATGAAAGCAAGTAAGTGGTTTAGGTCAGCTTTAATTTCCTAATTCCACTCTGCCTTTTTGCCAGGTTTATTGTTCCGTTTGCCAAAAATCCTGTGAGTGTGGTTCAAAAATGTGCACGTCCAAGCAGATATTTGAAGAAACAAATCAGATATAGGTCAAGGGGCATTTTTGTAGCTTTTCTCTGAACTGCCAGGTAAATGCATACAAACAGGGACAGATCTGGTTTGGACACTGTCTTGAGTGTTCTTCCAGTCCAACAACAATGAATTAGATGCAGTGAAGGAATCTTTGAGCTGTTAACTTCTCAGATTTGTTTTGCTTTGGATAATGTGCAGTGTTTAATAACAAATTAAATATATTTTGGCAGAAACACAAAGTATAACAAGTGTAGCATAGATGTTTTGATTTCTGAAGTACAAATACTAGGTTACAACGTTTATTTGCTAACTTACACTTACTGGTAAACCCTTTAGTAAACTTCTTCACCAAAAATGTAACTCTGAAATCAGGCTTTTCATACTGTTCACTGCAGAATGTCCAAACAAGCTAACTCAAACTGGAAAGCAGATGGGCTCTACCTGAATGAATGCAACAATCAGATGTATACATGACAGGTCATTAGGTATTGCTTTATTTTAAACTCTAATAACATGTTACTGGCATATAAGAAATACAGCCACTGTATTTGTATTGAAAATTTTATAATCCTATTGAGACTGTTGTTCATTCTGTTGAACATGTAGTGGAATTCTTCCACTAAAATGGCTCTTAAAAAAATATAAGAGTTGGTTGTGATGTGTGGACTTTCGGTCCCTAAAATTCTCCTAAAAGTTTTAGGGTCAGCACAAACCAGGGATAAAAATAAAGAATAGCCATTGTTTTCTCTAAAATTTTGTAGTTTTTATGAAGGATTCATTTGGCCTAATTCTGGCATGATTTTAGGCAAAGTAGTGCACTGCTTGTTGTTCTTCAGCAGTGCATAATAGCTCATGAATTGTAATTTATCTGCCTGGTAGTTTTTCATATGGGAGCACTGTAGCAGCCCCATAGGCATCAGTTTAGGAAGAAGCCGTGGTCTGGGCTGTCCAAGCTGCATCTTGCTGTGTCCCTGGAGCTTTGGTGATCTGCCTGAGTCACTGTCCTGCTCTCCCACCCTGCAGCCAGGTCAGCAGAGGCTTCGTACTTCATGTAGAAGTGCTACACCTACATGCTTCTGGTAAGACACAGGCTGAGGAGAGGAAATCTGTGCTGGATGTCCTGAACTCCAGTAGGATTCAACACAAATTGTGACATCTCCCCGTACTTTAGCATAAAACATTTTGACAAGAATGAATTAAAGAAATACATAAACATTAAATGTGCCCTTAAAACATGCCAGTTGCTTCCTATTAGCAAAAAAAGAAATAAAAAAGGTTTTCTTAATACAGTTTTACTTAGATTTCACTTAGATTCTGAAATTAATGTTTTCTCCTTTACTTCCCTGTTATGCTTTTCTTCTTATTAAAGACTTTGCTTTCTTGCTGAAATAGTTTGTGCTTCACCTGCTGTCTAAATTTTCTGTAAAATCTTGCATAAAATACATGCAGCTGATTTTGAGATCTGGAAGAGAGGAAGAAAAAAGGTGTGTATCACCTCTGTCCTCAAAAGTATTTAATGTTGGGCTGGGAAGCACCTACTAGCAATGACTGGGCAAGAGGGCAGAGTAGATGATTTGTTAAGGCCACTTCCAGCTTATTTCATAGACTCCTAGAACTGGCTAGGTTGGAAAGAGCTTTAAGGACAAATCCAATCGTTAACCCAGCACTGCCAGGTCACCACTAAAACATGTCACCAAGTGCCACATCTACATGTCTTTTAAATACTTCCAGGGATGGGGACTCCACCACTTCCCTGGGCAGCCTGGGCCAGTCCTCAACAACCCTTTTGGTAAAGAAAGTTTTCCTAATATCCAACCTAAACATCCGCTGGTGCAATCTGAGGTTGTTTCGTCTTGTCCTGTCACTTGTTACTTGAGAGAAGAGACCAACCTCCACCTCACCACAACCTCCGTTCAGGGAGTTGTAGAGAGCCAGAATATCTCCCCTGAACCTCCTTTTCTTCACGCTCAACAACCCCAGTTCCCTCAGCTGCTCCTCATAAGTCTTGTTCTCTAGACTCTTCAGCTTTTTTTGCATGTCTGTCTTTGTCTGACTGTGTTTGTGCTCAATTCCCTCTCTCCCACAGAGACCCGTCTCTGGCTGGTGAATGGAAGGCACAGATGTGAAGGTCGCGTTGAGCTCTACCACAGAGGATGGCGGGGGACAGTTTGTGACGATCTCTGGGACCTGTCTGATGCCCAGGTTGTGTGCAGGCAGCTGGGATGTGGCCACGCCATTGCAGCTCCAGGCAGTGCTTACTTTGGGCAAGGCTCAGGTGCCATCCTGCTGGACGACGTGATCTGCAGGGGAAATGAGGTCTCCTTGTCGCTTTGTAGTCACTCTGGATGGAGGGTACACAACTGCGCCCACTATGAAGATGCTGGTGTTGTCTGTGCAGGTGCTGTCACATTTTTATTTTCTAAATAATTTTGCTAAAAGTTGCACTCCGTATACCCATGTTGGCAGGATGGTCTGCAGACTTGCTCCTCCTAAAATAAGGATTCACGCATTCAAGGCATACAGTGGAAAGCTCCACCGGATATACATCTAATCTTTCTACATTAATAGGAAGAATTTTCTGTCTGTGGAAGGGCACACTCCCTTTGAAAAGGCCTGTTCTCAGGAAGCAGAGTCTGATTTTCCCAACCCCCTGTCTTTTCACTCTGCTGACCTTGTCGAGCCAGCATGGACTCGTGTTTTTCTCACTAGGGTGGTATACAAACTGTGTTTGCTCACTCCGTGCCAAGCAATTGAAACCCCCAAGGACCAGATATACATTGCAATGTGCAGAACTTTTATTCCACCTAATCACCCAGCAGTGACAAGGAGAATAACAGAACAAGTTGAAATTAAAACCAAACCTTTGTCTGGTAGACAATGTTCCTCAGGGAGGTAGAGGGTGAGGAGAAACTCATCTCATGGCAAGCCTTAATTCATTCACTAGAAGCAATAAGAACTTCCCAGTCACAACCCAAACTGCCATTGCTGACAACTCACTTTGAAACAGAAAATACAAAACCGTTTTTTTCTGTATTTTTCAAGTTTTCCTTCAAGTTTAGGTCCGTTAATAATTTTTTGCTTTACAAATATCCATCCATTTTAGCACTTCGTCATCTTGCTGTCTTCTGATTTTACTTCCCCCTTAGATTTTAAGAAAAAGTAGTTCATTTGTGTGTTATTTTCTCGTGCCTTAACAACAGATCATCATGAATTGAGACATGGCTGACGACAACAGCTTGTTCAGGTGTTTAATAGATATAGTCCAGTTTTCCCCATTTCCTCAAGGAGGAGGAGCCTAGGGAGCTGAATCCATGCTAGAAGAAAATGTTCACCTCACTGCTCTGCACTCCAAAGAAAACAAAACTAGCTATGGCACCTCTGCTACCATACGTGGGCTCTGTTCAGTGGCTTTTTAAGGGCCATTTATTTCTTGCCTGCATTTGTAGCTCCAGTGCCTACAACAGACTGGCCACCATACTCAACAGGTGATTCATGTTGGTCTGAATCACTCCTGGCCTTGTGCCAAGCACCACCCCAAGACCACTGCCTGGGCTTGATTTCACTTCCACCATGAAGAAATGACTTTGGGGCTATCACATGATGTACCTATTGCACAAGCATAGTCCTCATGTAGGTGGTGTTTTTCTGCTCTATCCACAGAAAAGACCCCTAGAATGCTGGCTGCCTCCATGCTGACAACCACCTTAACACCAGAGACAAGCTCCACACTAGACACAACCTCCATAGAGGAAACAACCAGCACAGAACCAATTACCGCTCCAACAGAGACAACCAGCAAATCGTCAAGTCCCCTAGCAGAGACAATCACCCTACTGGAGACGTCCACAGCAGCATCAACAACCCAGACACAGGAGACAACGCGTCTAGAAACCATGTCCCCTGCAGCACCCTCGACAACCTTATCAGGAATGACCTCGCCAGCAGGGACAACCACTCCATTGCCATCAAGCTCCCCAGCACAGGTACCCACCCCAGAACAGTCCTTCCTAGAACAGCTATCCTCCACAGCAGAGACAACCAGCTCAGCACTGTTTTTCCTACAACAGACATCCTCCGCAGCAGAGACAACTACTCCATTATGGTCTTCCCCAGAACAAACAATCCTCCCAGCACAGACAACCAACCCAGTGTCAATAACTGTCGCAACAGAGACAACCGCAGAGATAACCACCACAATGGCAACGGCTACCACAGTAGAGGGGAGCACAGCAGGTAACCGTGTCCACTGTCACTCACTGACCTATCGTCTGCCCCTTATCTCCTTTCCCAGACCTAATAGTAACGGGGGGCATTCTCCCATCCCTGGGCGCCTCCAGCTAGGCCATTCCTGGCACCTGAGTCCACAGTGAGGATGCAAGCATACCATGGCGAAGAGCTACTAAACTAGGGGGGCTTGAGGGCAGAAACTCTGTAGCCTTTGTTCATGAGGGAAGCTGTTAGGGGAGGGATTTTGTCTCACTGCAACTGGTGGGATTAGGAGAGGGGATCATTCTGCCTTCACCCCTCCAGTCCCTGCACAGGTAGTACCACAGCTAGAAACTAGATAACCTCTGGGATTTGGGACATGACTGGAAGAGAGAAAGCTGCTCCATCCCATGTTTTGTTGTGTGAGTTAGAGACCTCCACGGTCAAGCGGTTCCTGCCCTGGGAGCAGGTGCCTGTGTGAAATAGAGAGGTCATGATGGTCATTTCAAGAGAATGAAAGGCCTGCACAGGATGGGCAGAGCCACAGCAGAGGGGCTCCTGGAAGGTGGGCTAGATCTGGGCGTGGGCAGAGTCTTCTTCCCAGGGAGGGATCGCCGGGTGCCGGGCCGGAGGGAGCCCGG